TACACTTTTTATTTGTTTCCGCCCTATATTTTTATAAAATATTTTATTATAGAAAGAAAGAGTGTACGCACAATGATAGGTAATGTCTATTGCTTTCCTGGTGATTTTTTTAGGGTCACCTGGTGTTTGCCTCAGATAAACAGCTGGAACTGCTCCAACAGTCTAAGACGTGGTACATAGACGGAACTTTTAAACTTTGCCGCCAGCCGTTTACTCAGCTCCTGACCCTTAACGCCTTTGTAAAGAACGACGATCACGTGAAGCAGGTGATACATTTTATCTTTGCACTTATTATGTTACTGTAGTTTTTGGCGTCCCTTTGAAATAACGGTACGCCCTTGTACTTTTTAAGTATATGTGCGTACAGCTCTGTGTTAGATAAGTCTTCGTCAACTAAAAAAACATGTCTATGTTTATGTCTATGTCAGGTGCCTCTGGTTTTCGTCATAATGTCAGGCAAAAAACGGCGAGATTACAAGGCGGTCCTCGATGCTGTAATATCTATCCTCCCTTCTCCACCGAGAGTCACCAAGGTAATGCTGGACTTCGAAAAAGCTGTTTGGAGCGCACTCCGACAGACCCTCCCAGGCGTTCAGCTTAAAGGGTGTTCATTCCACTGGACACAAGCCCTATGGCGAAAGGTACAATCTCAAACTGTTAAATCACTGGTCAAACTAAAATCGGCAATGATTCACTTTATTCTAGCTATAGTTAAAAGTGTTAAAAGGGTTCACTTCTAAATTTCGTAACGATGTCGTATTCACTAGTATAACGGTAACGGTATGACGGTATTCAACGAAATGACAGTTGTGAAAGTTATTTATACAGACTTAACTCTAAATAATTTCTCGGGCTTTCGAATTTTCTGAAATCTGGGACCACAGGTCAGTTAAGCAAATACAAATTCGCGCAATGTTCAAAACGAAACTAGTTTAACATCTAGCTAACAAAATATTAAATTTCGCTTTTCTTTTATAGGTACAAGGGCTTGGACTCCAGGAAGCCTACAGAAATGACCGCGGCACCCACCAGCTAATAAAGCAACTGATGGCTTTATCGTACCTCCCTGCTGACGAGATCGAACGCAGATTCCGTCGACTCCAGCAGCAAGCAACTGTCAGACCCTTGCAGGATTTCTGTAGCTACATCGAAGAGAGCTGGATAACCAGTCAGACCTTCCCGCCACAGACCTGGAGCGTATTCCTGGAAGCGGTCAGGACCAATAACGACTTAGAGGGTTGGCACAATGGCTTGAACCGACGCGCCAAAGGACGATCTCAGCTTCCGTTGTACATCCTAATCTGCACTGGTCAGCATGCAAATCCGTCTGGTTTCAGACAAAAAGCTGAAGAGGCATCAGCGCTCGACCTACAGGACCTTACAGAGAAGACTTTTTGACCTCTGGAGTGAATTCGAAAATGGCAATAGGAATTCAAAGGAGCTTCTGGAGGCATGCGCTCACCTCGTATAACCCATGTAATTTAAACTGAGTAAATGTTGATAAAGATAGATATTCACAAAAAAAAACTCATAGCCACAAACTCATAAAAGTCAATGATCAACAGATAAACGTAACTTCTCCTTTACATAAACTAAGACTGGGGGCTAATCGTCCAGGGACTGGGGGCTAATCGTCCAAAGACTGGGGGCTAATCGTCCAGAGACTGGGGGCTAATTGTCTGGGGCTAATTGTCCGGTCAGCATTAGATTCCATCCACCAAAACCACCTCGGTCGAGAGGGACTGAGATGGAATATTTAATGACTTGCAAAACATAACCGAAGATTCTCGGAAATCCGCAAGTGATGTAGCCGAACATCAAAAGCTGTAAATCCCATGATTCTTGAGGAACAAACAGAAACAGCATAGCGAAAATTTTAAGTCGCGAACCATTGATGGTAGACATGCAGATAATTTAGGATACGTAAATTCTGTTGATGAGGCGCATAAACTTATTGTGGAATTTGAAAAAGGATTGACGACGCAGTTTTCTTTCTTTAAAGCTGTCAAAGGTTTCGGGAACACACATATATATATATATTGATATAGCTCTTTAGCATTACAAAGCTTTGCTATCGCTATTGTGCATTCTCACTAGTTTATCTAGTTCAAGTCCTCTGGCATGGCTTGGATGATACCACAATTGTGGAATCATTCGGGTTAATTTAATGCTTACACCTCCTTCCTCGGACAGAAGTCACAAAATACTGGGGGAAGATGCATGAGATATATAAGGAGCCTGGTGTGCTTTTCCTAATTTTGGGAAGGAAAGTGTTCAATTGCCAGCACGGCATAGATAGAACAGCTGGAGAGAAAAGGAAACGAAAAGATGCAGAAGAAGCACTGTATATAATAATTTATTTTTATCCTCAACCTTTGTGTTTCTGTCAACTATGGCTTGCTAATTCGAAAGGTCAAATACTTGAATGGGTCATATGACATTGATCTCAGAATACTTTTATGACAAACGTGATAACAGTTCAATCTCGGCTAAATTGAAGATGGTTTAGAAGTTAACAATTATAAGAACTTTTCACTAACATATGCTGCTGACAAAGGAGAAAATATATGCAATTCTGCATTTTTTGCTTTCTATTCTATTTCTTTCTTTCTTGCACCCCTGATGAAGGCACTAGACAGGAGTGTCGAAACGTTAGGTCTATGAATTGTAACTTCTTCGGTTACATTCATTAAATCTGCAAACCAGTGTAGCTTCAAACTATGTCTGATTGTCCACCTGGTTGCCGTGTGAACTTTAATATAAGCAATTATATGTTTGCTCCTTATCACGCTATGACACTTCCGTTTTGTCACATTCCAAAAAATAACTTGAGAAATACACTGTCACTCATATTACACTGTTATATTTACCTATTACAGAAGGCTGGAAACAAAGATTTTGTTTTCAAGAAAATAAGATTTCTTGTCCAAGACACAAGGAAGTTTGACTGCAAAGCACAGATAAAAATGCAAGAAATTTTATTTTTTTCAGAGAACAAGGTAGTTCTACTCATGTATAAACAGAACAAATGCAATTTAATAAATCAGATATGCGGCATGACTCCTTTTCTTCCATCCCCACTCAAAACAAGCAAACACACCTATAGAGGTTCCAGTCTGGTCTGCAAATGAAAAGGAGGAAGATGATCACTGCAAAATTAAGCATTAGGGTTCTTATTTATAACATATTGATTATTGTATACTAATATCTAGAAATTAAGGTTGCAAGTAGCAGCCAGCTGAGTTATAGTTTGAGTTTATCAAGTCCATTACTTTGTTAAATTTAGAGTAACCTTGTCTTGAGAGAGGAAAATTGAGGAGCTGTAATATACTTATCATCAATTAGGGACCACAAAGAAAAATTTATTTAAAGAGACTTTTAAAGGAGAGGGGTAAGACTTGTGACAAGCTGGCAGACATATAGATAAACTTTACTGCTAAATGGGTTACAATACAAAGTGCTCAGTATTTGGATCAGCTATGGCTCAACTTAAACTTTGCTTTAGCTTCAAGTTTAATCCTTTGTGGTTTCCTTTCTCTTTGTTTATTTTTCACGTCATGTACACAGAAGAACACAAAAATGACAAGGAATGTTTTTGAATATTAAGAGGCTGGAATAAGCAAGAAACCAAAACTGAATTTTAAACAGTACAAAGTTAATTTGATCTTCCAATGTTATTTAATTTTAACCATTTTAATAGAATTTGCTATTTAAATTTATCCCCTCCATTTTCCTGGATATTGTGAGCAAAAACAAACAATTATCACAAAATGCATGGTATACAATGGTTTGATTCACCAATGTGGCAAAGGCCTTTCACTGTCTATCCATAAAAAGGGAAATAGTTTGTAAAATGTAAGACATTCTGCATCTTGAGCGTATACTTATTCATCCATGTGAAATTAAAGGTTACTTGAAATAGGATTTTCAGACTCCTGATAACAATTACTAATGTGCTGATTTGTTGTACTTAAAGGTTATGATTTTAGTGGAAATAGTGGAAGAAATTTCTGGACCTGGAATTTTGTTGCAAATGTCTGTTTAAATCAGTTTAAGTCAGTTAAAAACTCTCCTGTTTCAAGATTACATGATTACCACACCAGAACCTTTTGTATTCTATATTGTGCACCATGTTATGATTATGGTTTCAATAATAAAAGGTGCTGACTCAAGAACTTTGCAAAATATCTCTACATACAAAGAAATAGATTGTGGTTATGTACTCCAAATAGCAGGTCACATCAGTCTTCTGTAAGGAAGTAGCAGAAATTGCTATGGTGGTTTTGGTGGATGGAGAGAAACATCCACCAAAACCACTTTATTCTATGTGTTAAGAGTTATGATAATCATTATGAACGTTTGGTCGGTCAGCAATTGTGCACCATAAAAAATAATTAGCCAGAGCACTAACTGCTAATTAGTGGTATAAATCTTTTGTCTCCCTAAACATCTAACAGTGGCTATAGATAAAATTTAAAAAATATATTGTTGATGGTTTTGGTCAAAGTTTTGGTGGATGTTCCCTAATGACATCCACCAAAACTACGTAACATCTGGGCACCTTTTAAATACGTGAAATATCTGCATAAAATTGCGTAAAATGTTTTATAATACTACAATCGAACAATAAATTAATACTTACCATTTCTTGAGTAAAAAGTTTTGACGCAATTTCCCAAACAAATGATACACTTAGGTCATCGGGATAAGTCGGCATGTTGTCGTAGCTTCGTAATTTTCATTTAGTATAACAAGTCATGAGTTGTCCATCATTCCATCTCAGTCCCTCTCGACCAAGGTGGTTTTGGTGGATGGATGTAGCGTTGCAGTTGTGTCTTCCGTTGTAGTTATGTCCTCACACATTATAACCAATAGAATGCGGTTTTATTTCTTCCAATCAAAGTGCGTTGTGAACGTGTCTTCTGCGTGTCACTTCCCAACTAGGGGAGGGATGCAATGCAAAATTGTGAGACTATCGTTAAGTTTTCCGCGCTCGAAGGTTGAGAATTTCATGGGCTATTCTTGTTTCATGGGCTTATTCTTGATGCCTTTTGGGACACTTCGGATTGTTGAAAGATTAATATTCTTGTTGCGTTTTTAAGCGCGAAGTATCAGTGAAATTTTCTTCGATACGTTGGAAAGGTTAGGAAGACGAGAATTTGACATTGCCTCGTAGCTTCCCTTATTGGTTTGGAGTGTGCTGGTGATCGAAGTTGTGCTTTTTTGTCGGAACTACTAAAGGAAGGTAAGGTTTCGGTTGCATTTTATGCTAGTATTTTGTTAAATTCAAATATTACAACCATTCTTCAAAGATCACGTTCAAGTTTTGGGCTTAATACTGTAGATTTCATGTGACAGCATGGCGAAGCGTGCGAGTAACTACTAACTTGGATTCATTGAATCCTTCAGTGTCGAGGGCTGATTTTTATATTTTGCGTGGGACATGTAAAACTAGATGTTACATAATTGAAAAACAGGGCAGATCTCGGTGTTTCAATGCCCAAAAATGTGTGATTTTCTCCATCTCATTGTGCCTACAATGATGGCTATTATGGATACAGTGGAAGACATGTATTCATTGTAAATGTATGGGACTACGCAAAAATTCAACCTCTGGTATGGTTGATGTCAAATATCACATATCCTGGGAGGTTAACTCACAAACTGCTAACTCGTATGATGAAGATCTGGTCTCTTTCATAAAGGATAGGGTGCTGTCTCCCAATGCTCTCCAACAAGTAACAGTTGGGTTACAATATATTAAATCATTCTCTTTGCTCACCCAGAAGGGACAGAATTGCAGCAAAATTACTCTTCACTTAATAATTAGTGCTTTGCTATTTAAATCAGTGGCTGACATATGCCACTTTCTTTATTTTGATCAATTTAGAGTAAAGTCCCCTGTACCAAATTATAAGGAATATGATAACAATATGTATGTTATATGTTACCACATTATCCATACTTTTTCAGCTATGTTTCACAAACATTAAAATGAAATAAACACTAATTCAATACAGACTATTGCCTACTATTAGCAATTATTGCTCCTACATGTGTTAGCAAGAACTTGGTCTTGTTGGCATTCATTGTGAGCATTTGGCGATCTGTATATTAGTGGAGAAACTCTCTGCAACTATCTTTGCTAAGAAAATACCAATCCTTTCACCCTTACTTAATTTCATTCATACAGGCATGGATGAGAACCAGCAGCAAAGCAAAGCAAACAAAAGTGCTGATGAGGTGGTAAGCTCTATTGTAAACATTTTCTCAGCAAATTATGCACTAGTTATAAAAAGGTATATGTTGTGCTTAATTTTTTTCCTTGGTATAAACATCATTTTCCTTTGGTTTTGTTAATGATATGAATGAAAAATGCATTTTGTGTAAAGAAAGATAAAATTTAGCTCCTAGCCTAAGTTATGATGAGATGATGTGTCACTATCAATTTGGCCTCTATTAAAAGTAAAAGAATTAAACTAAGGATAAAACTAAACCACAGCATACCTATACTAAACCCTCAGCCTATTTGTATCAATATTACTATTTTTTCTGGTGTTCACCCAATAGATTCAATCCACTCACAGACAAATATGGCACCTGTGCATTTTACTATTACTCTTAGGCTAAGGCACTCGTAGAAAGCAATATTTCACAAAACAACAACATTATGTATGCAAGGTTTAAATTTTTCAGACCTTTACTGCTTGTTTTTATGATTGGTTCCAGTATTTTCTTGCACAAAGAGTTCTGGTTGAATGTACCAGTCACCATGTTTTTTGGTATGGTGGTTTACAGTAATTGTTGTATGAAGTAACCTTCACCAATATTAATTTTGTGAACTTGTCACTGACAAAGAGCTAGTTCATGATTAGACATTGATCGTTTCATTAATTGCCATGCTCTACATTTATCATTGAAGTACTGATTAACTCCTTTGCCATCAGTAATTGCATTAAAGATACTGTGTTAGAAATCACAGCACTGTACCCCAAAATCTAATGTCGTCCTCAGCACAATCTCATTTTTTGAGCAAGGCAAAAGTAAAAATCAAACAAGACCACACAGACATCATCACAGAGACAACATTGCTATGTATAATGTTTATATAGTTAGTTACATAAAAGGTACTCTATTCATTAATTCAGTGTCAATACTCACCCTCGTAGCAGCTATAATTTTTAGCCAACTTGGGAAATAGTGGCCTAAAATGGACCCTTTTGGACATCTGAACTTTTAAATTTCCAGGGGAAGGTTCCCCAGACTTTGCCATCCAAGTGGGAATAAATGGCTGTCACACTGTCATTTTGGTCCCTCCCAGCTGCTCAAACGTTGTCCCTCCTTTCCACAATCTTACCAAAGCCCCCATATGTGTAGTAATAAAAACATTGAAGTGAAGTGTGCTATCTCAGCAAGAGGTGATAATCATGCACACTTTTAAGTGAGTCATCATAGCAGATGTTTGGTGAGGTATTGCATTCTGTGCTCAAAATCTAGTTCATGTAGACCTGGGAAAAAAGAATGGGGTGTAGCAGCCATTCATGTTGTTTAATTGCTCTAAGCTCTAATTCGATACTACTGTTCATTTGGCTATCTTTCTTGCCAATACTGTTTCGTTATTTGAGTTTTCTTGAAGACACTTCCCATTGAGAAGAAGCATTATATGTGTTTACAAATTAGAAGTAAAGAAAAGTGAAAAAAAAATAGGAGAGTGACAGGATGGTATCAAAGACAGTGGTACAATTTTTTTTTGCAGGGGGGTCATTTTTTTATTTTTGAATCAGAGTTTTAGCCTAAGTATGTCTAAGTTTCTACACTTGTTGTTTAGTCTTGTGACTTCTTGCTTTAAGAAGTGAGGTAAAATTGTTTGAATTTGTTTTTTTCATTACAGCCACTTGAGTCTGTAAATGGAAAGAAAACACTGAAAAATGACGGTAGGGAATACATTGCTTGCACTATAAAGTATTGAAAGTAATTTGCAACTCTCCATATTTGTTATTTGTAATTGACATGCTTTGCACAGGTGTTGTGGGGTTAGTGGAGAAGTTAACTGTATTTCAAAAATTAAATCACTTTAAATTGCAGTGAAAGCTATTACTTTTATAGTTATAAAAGTATCAAAGGTAACTTCTCTGAGAACCTTCTCCAGTGTCTGTGATATAGAAGTGTCCACTAAATATAGGTTCATTTATTAAGAAATGTGGGAAGAATAGTATGCAACTGAAAATACAAGTAAGGACTGGAAAAGAATATTTATTCCTTGCTAGTAATCTCAGAACAGCTGTGTGGAGCTGGAAATTAACAGTGCTGGAATACAACAGTAAATCCTGCTGATAAACTGAGAACAGCTGTGTGGGGCTGGAAATTAACAGTGCTGGAATACAATAGTTAACTCCTGCTGAGAAACTGAGAACAGCTGAGAGGGGCTGGAAAATAACAGTGCTGGAATACAACAGTTATCCACTACTGAAATTCAGAAACAGGAAACTTTTAAATACTTTTGTGCAACAATATACTGAGCATGCAGTAATATCTTCCATTGCCTCAATTCCAGTTACTTGTAGAAAGGTCATCTCTGAACCATTAAATAGGATCTGTTTTACCCGTTATGGAAGAAAAAATCTTAACCCTTTAACCCCTAAAAGTGACCAGCTTCTAATTTCTCCTTACAATATCTCCCCTGAATCAAACATTGAGTTCATGAGAATAAAGGAAATGACCAACAATTTATAAATCTCTTGATTTTTATAAAAACTCTCTTTGTCAGGGCTTCAGGAAATGTATAGAGAACAGTATGGAGAATATGCATAATGATGTTAGGGTGTAAAGGGTTAATCAATAAATGTATGTTAAAGGTAGCAATCTTCTATAACTATTACTTATTCACAAATACTATATTTTATTTAGCAGATTGTAGCTTCAATGGATGCCAGAAATATTTTTATGAAAAACTGGCAGATACAGTTTTGTATTGTACTCCAGGATATACATCTTTCCCAAAAGATGGTATTTCTTCAGAGAAGAATGAAAACTTAAATGCTTTCTTTAATCAGTATAAAAGACGATTTTTTGAACGACGTAGCCTGAAAAGACCAGTCTACACACTAAAACTTGACCAAGAAGGTAAGATTGTCCGTGACAAAAATGGCATCCTTGTTGTTTTGGTCAACAGTTATGTTCAAGGAGAGCTTAAGACTACAAAGCAACTTCTCTACAGAGAGGCTGTAGATGGTGTATTAAGCAGTTTACACTACATTAAAGGTGTCCTTGGAGAGGATACTTGCCTCCCTGGAGGGGTGAATGCCTTGAGTAGGCTATTCAATCAAAAATATGTATTTAAGGGTATTTTCAACCTTATTAGGGCCTTCTTGGCTCGATGCTCAACATGTCAGGTCAACAACCCCTTGCCAATGCGAGTGCTTCCCCCTCCTGTCCCCATTAGATCTTTTCGCCCCCATTCCAGACTACAGTGTGACCTTATTGACATGGCCCCAAAGAAGCACCGTAGTTTTATGCAGAATAATTGTTGGAGCTACCGTTACATTCTAACAGTCAAGTGCTGTTTCTCGAAGTTTTGTTGGCTGTTCCCGTTAAAAACAAAGTCTGCAGAAGAAGTGTATGCCATTCTGAAGGCCTTGTTCATCAAGGAAGGGTCACCTACTGTAATTCAGTCAGATAATGGTGGTGAATTCATTGGAGAGGTAGTGCAAAAACTTTGCAAAGAATTTGAAGTTTGCATGGTTCATGGTAGGCCACACCACCCACAGTCTCAAGGCCAGATAGAAAATCTCAACAAGCAAGTCAAAAGGTTACTTGCAAGGTTTTTACAACAGTTGCCTAGAGATCTTCAGGCCAATGTCTGGCCTTTACTACTCTCTGCTATTGCAGACCTTTTGAATTGCAAGTGGCACAGCACAATTAATGATGTGCCTTTTCGAATATATAAGAACCGTGAGCCTTCCTGCTTGGTGGACTACATCATCCCAGATGATAGTATGTGGACAGAAAGTATTGAAGATGGTTGCCTTGAGGATTATGAATTTTCATCAGAAGATTTCATTGAACTTGAGAGACATGGGGAAAGCACTTCCATGGATAAATCTAAATTAGAAGAGATAACAGAGGCCATCCTGCAAATTTCTTCTGAGACCATATTATTGTCTTCATTGGGTGTTTCAGCTAAGCAGCTGTCAGCAGCTGTTAAGAAGATAGTGCAAGGAAATTCACATTCTCCACCTTCTCACAGTCACAACAACATCCCACTTCAATCAGTGGATTCAGAGGCAGAATTCCAGGTAGAGAGCATCACAAAATACCTCTTCAACTTGAGTGAAGAATACAAATCTAAGATGGTGGATGTCCTTGAAGCAACAGAACACACCATTCAAAAGAATCACAAACGGGCTCTTAAGAGGGCTAAAGAGCGGGAATTTAAGGTGGGAGACAAAGTTCTCTTCCAAAATCCACGTTCAGAAGGATTGCATTTTTCAAAGCCAGATCCCTTTCAGCCCTTGAATGTTCTGGGGGTCATCAAAGAGGTGCGTCCTGGAGGAATGTTCAAGGTGGAGATAGAATGTGGAGAGCAATTGGTAGTTAAATCCATTTTTGGTGGCCAGATGGTTTTGTTCAAGGAAAAGCAGTGTGAACTTCCCCTTTGTGAAACACCCCCCAAGTTATCTTTGCTGAATATGCACAATTTCATTTCAGAGTTTGGCCTAACTGTGCGTAAGGAGATGTATAATCGAAGTCTAAGGTTGAGGAAAGTGGCTCACCATAGAAGTATTGATGATTTATTGAAGAGTTATTGTCAGGTTCTGGATTATGGACTCCTTGCCATGGTATCGTCGTTTTCTGACAGAGAGGAAGAAGAAGCTGTGTTTCACCAGAAGTTTGTAACTGGCCTTCAAACTTTACAGGCTTCGGGTTTTCAGTACTTTCTCTATGGTACAATCTTTTGGGAGAGAGACAGAAAGCAAAACCTGGGAAAGTCAATTCTAAGTCATCTCACCAGTTACGAGGAACACTCTGACTGCTTGTCATGCGTTGGAGAGCAAAAAGAAACTCCATGCTTTCATCCCTGCTGCCAGAATCTTGTGCTTCAGATGGCTGTTAACTGTGGGCTCTTCTGTGTAACAATAGATGGTTGCATTGTACCATCTGATGATAGTATAATGAAAACATCTCAGACAGCTCCAAAGGAAACCCCTCTGTTAAGTAGCCATACAACTGAGGCTAGTACTTCATGCCATGATAAAGACAGTATCAAAAGACCTAGCACCCAAGTCGGTGTTGATGAGCCAGTGTTCAATAAGGATGATCTGCTTGACCATACAAATGATGTAAATGTTGATGTTGGATCCAACAGATGCAGTACACCCCAAGGAAGTCTGAAAACCCATGAAGTCACCCTTGGTGAGCCATCCACATCATTGCTGTTCATGCCAGGAAGCAATCAAGGAATGCTATGGAAGCCAGCTGAGTTGAAGGACAAGTGTCAGCAACATCTAGAGAACATTGATCCTTATTGCAGTGAACTGGCCAAGTTTGTAATGCCCTTGAAGGGCTTTCTTGCAGCCATAAATCCTTCTCAAGATAATGCCACAGAAAGAAGTAACTTGAGGTACTTTTTAAAGATTATTGACAAGCATGCAAATAAAGATGTACAGAGCCAAGTGCGCCTAAGTAGCAACAATGGCAGTCAGGAGTGTATGCAAGTTCAAGGGTACAGCTCATTCTGTGGACTTTGTGCAATGAACAATGCAATAGGTTGTTCCAGGAAAGGACCTACTATGTTCAATTTGTTTGACCTAGATTTGGCAGCAGACATCATTTGGTTAAAACAGGTTTGTGAAGTTGGCTGTGGATTTTCTGTACCTTTAGAGCCTATGCGGGGTCTTGATGGTGACTACAGTATTTTAGCAATGGAGGAGGCAGCAATTAGGAAGAACTGTACATTTCAAAGACTAGATTTACCCTTGAGGGCACTTGTGGATGGTGCTGCAATTAATTCCCTTGACCCCAGCAGTCTCCAGGAATTTTATTCCCTTCTTCTGGGATTGTTCCAGGCAGATGAGAGACCATCACTCATTGTGAGGACAAAGGAATATCACTTTGTTACTCTGCTCTTTAAAGCAGATGCAATTGTACTTCTTGATAGTCGCAGGACATCTGCTCTTCCACTGTCCCTTAAAGATGGCCTAGGTTACATTCAGAGAGAAGCATATCAGAACCCAGATTTTGCTGCTGTAAACCTTCAAGGGCCTGGAACTTATGGCAATCCTGTGAGAGTGAATGACTTGCCAGAAGTTAAGCTGCACACAAATTTTCATTGCACACTGGATGAGGTGTGGGATTTAAGCAGTACTATAAGTGATGATACCATCATTGCCACACTCCATGGACAAGTCAAAGCAAAAGATGTTCGTACCCTCAAGCCAGGTAACCAAATAAATGATGTCGTGATCAACTACATTGGTCCATTCTTAATGAGTCAGAAAAAGGATGTGTATGTGGCAAGCACCTTTTGGCTAAATCACTGCAGCCAAGAGCTGGGTCTTAAGGAAATGCTTAGGTGTGATTTTCACAAGTATGAAAAGTTTATATTTCCTGTTCATTGCCCTGGTCACTGGTGGTGTGTCTTAATAGACAGGCCAATGAAGTTGTATGGGGAATTTGACTCCCTTTGTAAAGATCGAAGGAGTGATTATGTTTTTCAGGTCTTGTGCAGGGAATTCAAAACTGCAAATATTGATATTTCTTCATTTCGAAGGTTAAGTCAGGAGGAAAGAGAAAAGTTGCCTTCTCAAGGACAGAATGTTTTTGACTGTGGTGTCTTTGTCTTGGGTTTTATCAGTGCATTTGTCAACAACTTGGAAATGAATTTCAGCTTAAGGGATATGCCATTCCTGCGGAATTCATTTGCGAAAATTATCATGAATGGGCAACCAGTATGTGACATTAAAAATTGTCCCAGTACCCAAGAAAGTTGTCATCCAGCTTGTGAAGAAGGTGGCCATGGAAGTGTCCTTGGGCTAGTTGGTTGCTCTACCATTGAAACTATGAGATGTAGGGGTCAAGAGAATATTTGCAGTGACAAAGAATCTGGAGTAAGTGGTACAGGACTTATACATTGTGCTGGTGAAAACAGCAGTGCAAGAATAGGTGAAGATGGAATTAAGAAATGCAGAACAGGAGTGAGTCCATTTAGTCCTGACAAAACCATGGAAGAGGTTTCTGTTGGTTTTGGTGTTGCTTTTCCTGGTAAGTATGAATTAGGGGATTTTGAGAAGGATTATGAAGATATGGAAGATGATCCATTTGTTGTCCCCCTCCTCTTCTGCCATTAGACATTCAACTACGGGACAAAGACACAGAGTTGTCAAATGAAAACAATATTCAAGGTAATTAATATGTTGACCATTTTCACTCTTTGTCTCTTTGTTTTTGTAATATGAATTTTTTGCTATATTGTTCCATAATTATTCATCTCTATAAACCTTGTTTTTTTGTTATTTGCTAAAGAAAGCATTGTTGTGCCTTTTTACAGCCAGTGAACCAGATGATGAAGATTTGGTCTTGTATGAGCTCCTCAAGCCTCCTTATGATGCTTCTCACGAGGTATGCAGAATTTGTGAGTGATCTGTGGTTTTCTTCTGCTTGGGTTTTCTCTTACATTATTATTATTATTATTATTATTATCATCATCGTCATTATCATTATTATTATTTTTACCACTGTTGTTGTTGTTGTTGTTGTATACTATGCAGAGATGTTCTTGTAACATGCCCAGTAGTTTAGGGGAATATCATTATTATTATTACTATTATTATAATCATTTTATATTATGCAGAGATGTTCTTGTTAACATGTCAAGTAGTTTAGGGGAATATCATTATTGTTCTTATTATTAAATTATTATTATTATTATTATTATTATTATTATTTTAGTACTATTACTTTTGTGTTTTGTTTCCCTTTGATGACTAGTTTTGGATGTTTTTTATTGCCTTGTGTCTGCAATGAATTTTAAGTTAAATTATTATAAATACATCTAATGATTAATAGTCCTTTAATTGCTAAATTTGTTTGTTGGGTTAACATAACAATGTGGTTGTTTTCATTGTCCCTTGAGTTAATTTATAGCATATCATCATTAACATACTGATACTTGGTAAGTGGTACTTACCCGATGAAATTAAGCCAAATGTGCATTTTAATACGAATTTGGTGAAGACAGTCTTTCACAAGCCAAGTGTCATTAGATTTTCTTTCCTAATGGAGACTGATTTTCTTCACAGCTTCCAACCCTACAGATGCTCTATTCTAAAGAAGAAAGGAAGGTATTCCAAGGCCTTAACCCCATCACTGAGCAATATCTTTTCAAACTAAGGAAGGAGAAAGGGATAAATGTTCCAAGAGGGTGTTACCATGCAGTGATGACAACAGAAGAAATGGTAGATGTTGATAGTGATGGATGGGTCTTATTGAACATCACAGAACAGTATCACTATGAAATGTGGAGAGACTGGAAATGGAGGCAACTTGAGGAGAAAGACCTTTTGTAATTTTAAATAAAATCAATAAGGCAAGCTATTTGGCACAGTG